TAGAAATTTAAATTCCCATCCCAGATTCTCGTACCCATTACGTTGTTTTCAAATGCCTGACTTTTTCAGGTTTGAAGGTTTTCAATTTTTAATTCACTTTTAGTTAAAGCAGTTAGTTAGCAGGTGTCCAGCATTTCCTCCTTTCCATCTATCTAAGATTTGGCTCTGGTTGGATTACATGCCTTCCCTCTTAAATTTTAAAGATTTTACAAATTTATTTGTGAAGTTCCTGCCTCAGGCCACCCGTCACCAGCCTGCCGAACTCTTCAGTCTCCACCCACGCTCAGTAGAACAGCTCCCAGCAAACGCTGCCCTGGCTGATCGAGTGCCACTGCTCACAGCAGCCACCACCTGCGCACGAGGTGCTTTCTAGGAGAGAATGGGGTGGTTTTCTCCCCCACGATGAGTGACATTACTTGAAACAGACATTGCAAGGTGACCTTGAAAGAGAGCAGTTGCCGGGGCTTTGGACCATGTGGGGTCCAGGCGGTGCACACCACGTGCCTTGCGTGATCCACAGGCTGAGTGCAGGTGAAGGGTTTTGAGTTGGTTTTTCTTTCTTAAAATAAGGAGCTCATAGCCCCCTCCTCACGGCTGATGCCCACATGTGCTGGGGCCTCCCTAAGGACGGTTTCCTTCTTTAGGACGGACCGTGGGGGTGAGGAAATCCCAGGAGCAGCAGGGTCCACGGGGAAGCCTGTGCTAAGTAGTCATTCGGTGTCTGCCTCATTTCATCCACACACAACCCACCCAATGGCGTGGCTACCATCGTCCCAATCACCCCTACCATACAGGGGAGGAGACAGGCGGGGTGAGCCACTCGCCCCAGCTCCTGTAGCCGGTGGGTGGTGCAGCAGGCCCGAGCCCGGCACCCTGGGTGCAGCACACGGCAGGAGACACCACGTGACCGCTGGACCCGATTAGAGCCCTGACCTGGCCTCAGCGAGATGACCAGTGCTTTTCTTTCCTTCTGTCCCGATATGAACCATATGGTAACCAGTGAGGACTCTTTCCTTGTACAGTTTCTTTCACATCACACACATAGCTGCCAACCCCATGACAGGTGAAAATAGACCTTAAGCAAAGTTGAAGATTAAAAATATCCCAGCTCCCCAACAAATAAGCAAACTCAGAACTCTATGTGTGTGCACAAGATTTCGGATTAAGTACACAGCAGGCACCTGGCAAACACTATCGGCTTCCCTTACGCTTGGGAAGAGGCGCAGACGCCGCGAGCTCACAGGCCCTGCACCTGCCCGGGCCAGCGTTACCTGTGGGGTGGTTGTGGGTCATTCTTCCGCACTCGACGCTGACCTCGATGAGGGTCTCCAGCCGCTCCGGCTTCCAGTAGCGCATGCCAATGCACATTGCTTTAGTGGCAGCTCCAAATCCTGAACCTATGTGAAAAATGAAACACCTGGATTTAGACTTTTGCTCCACTAATTCCACCTTTGGCAATCTAGCTTTCATAAAGTATTTTATTTTTTAAAGAAACACATTCTTATTTTTTGTTTTTATCTTTATTTTGGCAGCTGGCTGATATGGGGATCTGAGCCTTAGACCTTGGTGTTATAACACCGAGCTCGCACCAACTGAGCTAACCAGCCAGCCATAAGTAATTTTAAAGGCACGAATATGTACATAATAACACATTTATCAAAGTGTCACTTAAGTGAGAGAACAGCAGCAAACTGCCCAAATGTGTGACGACAGAAAAGAGATCAGAGAAACCAAGTTGCATACGTACGTTGGAATGTTATCCAGTCATTAAAAGCAGAAATTTGGATGGCCTGGGGAAATTCTTATAATATGTTCCTTCTTGGGGACAGCATAGAAGACAGAGTTGTACACACGGTATGCTTTCCATTCTGTACGCATGTTTTCTATTTTTAAAAACAGCTTCACTGAGTTATAATCGACATACGATAAACTGCACACAACTTAAAACATGCGCGTGGATAACTTGTGACACGCACAGCCTCTCCACGCGACCCGTTCCCAGACACACAGTGACCGCGCCTCCCCCGTGCTCCCCCGTGCTCCCCCGTGCCTCTGCGACGCCATCTTCCTGCCTCCACCAGCGACCACTCATCTGACTCTAGACTGGTCTGCCCTTCCTAGAGCTCTGCAGAAATGGAATCACACACAACGTTTTTGTTTGTTTGTTTGTTTGGCTAGACTTCTGTCACTCAGCATGTCTTTTCTCTTGGGTGAATAACTAGTACCAGAGTGTCCAGATCACATGGTGTTGAATGTTTAACTTTTTAAGAAACTGCCAAACCAGTTTCTGAAGTGGCTGTGCCATTCTGTGTCCCGACCGGTGGCTCCTCACGGGCTTGCAGCATTGCTGTGGTCGTCTTCTCAACCGTGGCCACTCCATCGGGCACGCGGTGGCACCTCACTGTGGCTTCACTTGCACTTTTCTAGTAACAGATGACGTCCAGCATGTTTCTGTGCTTATTTGCCATCACATGTCTTCTTTGGCTGTGGCTGTTGAAATCTGCTGCCCACTCTTGTACTGGGTTGCTTATCTTCTTGTTACGGTGTGAGAGTTCTGCACACATTGTGGACGTGGGTCCTTTGTCAGACGTCTGCTCGCAAACGTTGCCGCCTGCCCGTGCCAGCCCTTTCTCCCTTCAACAGCGTCTTCTGCAGAGCGGAAGGAGGCATTTGCAGGGGGCTCCTCTGCAGTTCTCCGGAAGAGCTGCAAACAGGTGACGTTATCTCCTCCCTACGTGTCTGGTGGAATTCCCCAGGGAAGCCACCCGGACCTGGGGTTTTCTTGGTAACTTCCTCCACAAGGAATAAATGCTATTTAGATGACCTGTTTCCTCAAGTGACTTTGGTAGTTTGTGTCTTTCAAGGAATTTGTTCATTTCGTCTAAGTGCTTAAGTTTGCTCGCATACAACTGTTAATAACATTCCCCTATTTTCCTTTTAATTTCTGCAGAATCTGTAGTGATCTTACCTCTCTCTCGTCAGCACTGGTGATTTGTGTCCCCTTTTTTTCCTGGTCAGTCTAGCTAGAGGATTATTACTTTTTCTGATATTCTTAAAGAACTGTCTTTGGTTCTGTTGGCTTTTCTCTGTTGTCTCTGTTTTCGGTCATTGATTTCCACTTAGATCTTCATGATTTCCTGTCTTCTGCCTTCTTTGAGTTTAATTTGCCCTTATTTTTCCAGTTTCTTAAGGTGAAAACTGAAGTCACCACCTTGGGGACTTCCTGTTGAAGTCTCCGCCTAGAGTTACACATCTGTCTCTCTGTGCAGCATGACCAGTTCTTGCTTCACATGCTCTGAAGGTCTTTTATCAGGTGCATAAACACTTAGGTGTGTTATGGCTTCCTGGTGAACTGACCCATTCATCGTGATGAACCTGCTTCTTTATCACTGGCAATATTCTTTGTTCCAAAATTGACTGTTTGTCATGAATATAGTCAGTTACTGTTGGTGGTAAATCTTTTCCCATCGTTTTACTTTTAATCTGTCTGTGTCTTTATACTGAAAGTGCATTTCTTGTGAAAGCATATGGCTGGGACTTGCTTCTCGGTCCGAGCTGACGAGCTCTGCCTGTTGTCTGGGCTCTGCAGACCTGTCGCATCTGATGTCATCTGCATGCTGGGTTCCATTTGTCCGATCTGCTGTTTGCGTCCTTTCCGTCCTTTCTCCCTTGTTTGGATTGGATTTTATTTATTTATTTTTTTTAAAGATGACCGGTAAGGGGATCTCAACCCTTGACTTGGTGTTGTCAGCACCACGCTCAGCCAGTGAGCAAACCGGCCATCCCTATATAGGATCCGAACCCGCGGCCTTGGTGTTATCAGCACCGCACTCTACCGAGTGAGCCACAGGCCGGTCCTGGATTGGATTTTTTAAGTGATTGAATTTTCGCTCTTTTGTCGGCTTACTGGTTGTAACTGTTTTGTCATTTTAGTGGCTGCTGTGGGCTTTGCAGTGCCACTCGCAGTGCCTCTCTAACTCGCAGGCCATCTCGCGTGACCCCGTGCCCCCCCCACGAGCTGCGAGACCTCCCGACGGCACATGTGGCCCCAGACTCTACGCTAGTGTCATCGTACACTTACGCACCACGCCTGCTTTACACACCATCGGCACACACGGTTATCTTTTCCAGAGATGGAGGTAACGAGTCAGAGCCTCACGCACACACCACGCGGCGCTGCTCTGCGAAAACCCGCATTGGCCTTTGGCCTTGACTTCCGTCCGCCCGAGTGACTTCCACTCGCTTTCTGCAGTGTGACCCGGCTGGTGTCGTCTCCCGGCGCCCCGCTCACCCGGCGACAGAGGGCCGCGTGTCTCCGCAAGCGCTCTGTGGTCTCTGTCCGGCTGCTTCTGAGGTTCCTCTTTACAGCCAGTTTTGAGCCATTTGGTTGTCACCTCGTGGCCCCTGTGCCTGGGAGTCATTGAGTTTCTTTGTCATGTGTGAGTTCACAGTTGTCATCAAATATGGAAACATTCTGGCGATGACATTTTGTTGCTCTTCCTATTCTCCATGTGGGGCACTCCAGACACGGGCATATTAGGTTGCTTTACAGTGTCCCGTAGATTCCCGGTGCTCTTTTCCTATTTCGGATTCTTTTTTCTCTGTGTGTCCCAGTTTGGAGGAGAGTTTCCACTGCTGTGCCTCGAGTTCACTCATCTTTTATTTGATGTGTCTAATCTGCTATTAATCTCGGCCAACGACTTTTAAACTCAGACCTCAGTTCCTTTTTCTAGAGATGTGACCCGGCTGGTGTCGTCTCCCGGCGCCCCGCTCAGCCCGCTTTCATAGCTTCCACGTTTGAGTGTGTGGAACGCCTCCTCTTCCGTCCCTGTCGCTAATGTCTGTGTCAGGTCTCTTCAGTTTTGACCTCTCGGTTTTCCTCTTCATTCTGGACGGTGCTGTCCTGACTTTTGCATGCTCAGTAACTTATGATCGAATGCCAGACTCAGAATTCTACCTGTTGAGTCCTGGACATTTTTGTATTCCTGCAAATGTTTTTGAGCTTTGCTCTGGGATGCAGTTAATTTACTTGGAAACAGTTTGATCTTTTTGAGCCTTGCTCTGTGAGGACCACAACGGCGTTTGGCAGCTGTTCATTCCCCACTCATGTGACAAGTCCTTGTGAACACTCTAGCTGGTGCCCTGTGAGTTGCAGGCTTACGGTCTGGCTGGTGAGAACAGCCAGCCCCTGGTGCTGTGCGCGTGGGCACTGGGCGTGTTCCTGTGGTCCTCTCTCCTGGTTCCTTCCACAGCCTTGGTGGTCCCCTCACAGGCACGAGCTGACCACTGCTCTGCAGGTACCCAAGACACCCCCAGCAGGTCCGTGTTCTCTCTCCGCTCTGGGACTGTCCTGTGAACTCCACCTGCCTGGGTCTCCCTCGACTCCCAGCTCTGTCCCCTCAACCGAGTGGCCTCACTGGGCTCATTGGACTCTGCCTTGGTTTCCCTTCTCTGCCCCATGGCTTGGAAATTCTCTCAGGGTGGGTGAGTGGATGCAATTGTGTGGCTCATCTTTCCTGTTTTCTGTCTCTTGAGGATAATTCTCATTTGTTGCCTGACATCCAGTGTCTTAAAAACGAGCATTTCACATACTTTGTCTGGTTCTCTTTGGTTGTTTCAGACATGAGGGTAAATCCAGTCCTCGTCACTCCATGTTCTCAAAAGTGGGAGTAGATTTATACGCTCATACTGCTGTGGGTTGATGTTCCCCTCAAACTCACTGAAGCTTAAACCGTGTCCACCAAAGTTCCAGGTATTGGAAACATGGCCCCCACTGTGACAGTGTGATAGGGAGGGCTACTGCAATGAGTGAAAGGTGGGGACTCGAAAGGGTGATCAGATTGCAGGACCATGCCATAGTCAATGGATCAATAGCGGTGGTTGTTGACATGGTTCTGAGGGCTTTAGGAGAGCACGTGAGGGTCTCTCTCTGCTTCTGCCGTCTTGCGATGTGACACCCTGTGCCGCTGAAGCCACCACCAAAGAAGTCCCTCACCAGCTGTGTTCCCTGGACTTTGGATTCCCTGGCCTCTGAAACTATAAGCAATAAATTGGGTTTTCTTATAAATCACCCAGTTCCAGGTATTTTGTTATAAGCAACAGAAACAGACTAATACACATACATAGCATATGTATGGAAAAATGACTGGAAGAACATAGCAAGAGGCTCACAGCAATTATGCCTGGGTGCTTTTATGGGTAATCTGTATCTCCTTTCCTCACTTCCATATTTTCTAAATTTTCTAGAATAAATACATAATATTCTTATAATTACAATAATGCTGTTTTAGAAAGCACTCTTTTAGCAAAAAAAGCTATGATCATCTATTTCTCTCTCATTAGCCCACAAACTCAAAAAAATCCTATCTCTGAATTTGAGATGTACTTTAATA